GGGCGGGCAGGAGGACCAGGCGCCCTGCTCGGGCCGCCGCAGTGTCCGGGCCGTGTTCGGCCTCCGGAGCTCGGCCGGAGATGCCAAGCGGGGCTCCCGCTGGTGCCGGGCGCCGTGCGCAGTCAGTGGAAATGGGCAGTTGTCTTAAATGCACAGACAGCCTCAAAGAGAGCTCTGGGAGGGAGATAAATGACCCCACTTATCTCCGGGAGCTGTTAACTCTGAAACTGAATGAGCCGCAAGACCAAAGTTGGCCTATAGCACTGATGGGTTCTGGCAGTAATTCAGTGCTTGTCCCAGAGTCCAAAGGCTCTTCCTGCCCTTGCCAAGCCCTGCACATTCACAGTCTGTATTCGGGGAGAGAGGATGGGGTTTCCTGGGGATTAAATTGGCTCCCAGCAGCATCGCCTTTGCTCCTAATGGAGGGGAAGCTCAGCGGGAGCCTGCAAAGCTACAAATGAGCTCACGGCTTTGGTGTCGGAGCTTTTGCTGCCACCTCGTGTCCGTAGGTCCTGTTGGTCCATGTGTCCTGCCTGGAGGGATTTGCTCCGTGCCAGGGCTCATGCTCAAGTGTAAGCCTTTGCCTTGAGCTCTGCAGGGCCCAGGGGCAGCGTAGGCGAGCGAAGGGGAGCTCGGAGCAGGTGCTCCCATTCCGCCCTTCTCCTCAGTGCCGGAGCACCTGTGTTTTATCTCGGTGACATGAGAACGTCTTGGGAGATCCTGGTTTTCTGTCGTTTCAGGCTCTCCCGGCGTGTCCCATCCAGGCCACGTGCGAAGCTGCTTCCAAGGAGGAGAACAAGGAGAAGAACCGCTACGTGAACATCTTGCCCTGTAGGTCCCCGTGCATCGGGTGCTGCTGCTCTCCCGTGCGAGGAGCACGAAAGAGAAAGGAAAAAACGGGGGGAGAAAAAAGTTTGGGAATCTGGGCTGGTTTCTCAGGTGCTGTGTCCAAGCTGGGGGTGGCAAAGCCAGTTGCTCCACTTCTTAAAGTGTAGGAAAGGGCAGTCTATGGCAGGTGATGCCAAAACTCATTCTCGAGTGAGGTTTCTCACGCCCAGACGAATTTGAGGACATAAATCCTGCATGTGTGTGGTGAAGCCCCATCCTTGGGGGGCCTATGGAGCCTTGGGAAGCCAACCTTCCTGCTCAGGCACCGGATTTCAGCTGGAAATCGGGCTTTCGCTCCTGACGCTCGTTTCTCCTCCTGCTCCAGACGATCATTCCAGGGTCCACCTGACACCCGTGGAAGGGGTCCCCGACTCGGACTACATCAACGCCTCCTTCATCAACGTAAGCGCTCGGCTCCGGCGAGGGCCGGTCCCCTCAACCGCTCACTCTGCCTGTGGCTTTTAGGAGCTGCAGCTCGCCGGGAAAAGTATCGTGTAGAAACTGCTGTCTTGGTTAACGTCTCCCTAGCCTCTCTGCAGGAAAAGCTCCTGCTATATATATATTTTTTTGAGGTTGTAGCATTTGTGTCGCTACAGAGAGCCCTGTTTCCCACTCAGCCTCCTGAACCCCAATGAATGAGGTCTGGCCATTACAGTAAGAGGCCAAGAGCCAGGGCTAATGAATCCTCATTGCGGCAAGGCCAGTGCGCAGCTGCTTTGCTGCGGTCACGTCTCTTCACACCTCGCTTTTCGTCACTCCTAAAGCAAGGAGAAGGCTCCTGTGCTCCTTGCAGGATGCTGCAGGATGGGGAGGGATTCAGGAGCCCTTCCTGGAGGAGCAGAAATAGGCTGCTGAGTCACGGTGCGGCCGATGAATCGCTGGAAGTCCCCAGCTTCCACCAAGGGCTGTGCGAAGGGCACAATAAGGAAATCAAGCAACGCGGCTAAAATAAACCTAGGAGCAGCCTAGCCCTCCTCTGCTCATAGTAGTCAGCAGTTTTGCCTGCCTACGAGCACGATTTTTGCTAGATAATTTGATTTCTGACTTGACTTCTGCCCTTTGTTTCAATTAAACTTGAATTTCTAGTCCTCGTATTGGTACAAACCCCTGTTTTTTAGTAATGAAACGTGCTGGTCCTTAGGAAGGGGGTTCCCCCCATAAGGCAGAGAGGGTGGCTGGGGAGACCCTTCTGCACGGGCTCACGTAGGGCCTGGGGCCGCTCGCTGAGCATCGCTCTGCCTCTGTGTCCCATGAGTAAAACAGGGATAATCAACAGCAGGTACCACAGCACCTACCCGGGCAGGGCTGCAAGTGGAAATGACACTGAGAAGGGTGCCCTGAAGAAGTTATTAATGATGTAGCAACACAGCGTGCCCCTGGTCACGGAGAAATACTCACCCCTCATTCTCCTTCTCTCCTTTCTGTGCAGGGGTACCAAGAGAAAAACAAGTTCATTGCTGCACAAGGTGAGCCCACCAGTTTCCTAGTTGCACTAGTTGGTCCTCATGGCCGGTGCAGCAGTGTGGTCACTTGCTTGCCCTGCTGCCCACACGCGCTCCAAATGTGAGGCCACCAGCATCTCCCCGCCTGGAAATGGCCTTCCCCGTTCCCTGCCTGCGGAACGGAGCCTGGGACTCATCCTCTGCCCATCCCAGCTTGGCTAAAGCTGCCGCTGCCTTTTCTTCTGACTCACCCTCAGCCTCACGCCTGGCAGGGAATGGTTAGTTTGAGTCAGCTCCTTGCCTGGCACACAGTAAATACGTGTTATTCTGGTGCTGCACTTAAATAGGACCTTGTGGTTGAAGCACGGGTTTGGGGGCCGGCCTGGCGCGCGCTGTTTGTGACAATTTCCCCTCTGACCTTGGGCAAGCCCCTTTCCCTGTGTCTGATTTCCCCTTCTGCTGCTAAAAATGGACTTCCGGATCATAAAAATATATCCATGCCCTTAAAAAAAAAAATGCTGTTGTGTGATCCGATTGGTCTCCAGGATCCAAAACCTTCCCAAATACCAAAGCTCATCCTGTGCTGACACCTATTGGCAAAGGTATCCTTGCATCCTTGCAACACGTTACCTCTGCCATCGGGATGGGTTTCGGTCCCCCTGCTCCGCATCCTACCAGCTTGACCTCTTCTTCCCCATCCCGCTTCTGTTTGCCTGCTGTGTAGGACCAAAAGAAGAAACGGTGAATGATTTCTGGAGAATGATTTGGGAGCAAAACACAGCCACGATCGTCATGGTGACCAACCTGAAAGAGAGGAAGGAGGTAGGCGGTAAAAGGCAGCGATACAATCACAGAATTGTTATAGTTGGAAAAGACCTTCAAGATCATCGAGTCAGCGCCGTGCCTGATAAACCATGTCCCTAAGGAAGGGCCGGCTCCACATTTCTGGAACACTGACGGCTGCGTGGGGGCTGCTCTGTGCCCGGCCATCGGGTGCATGGGGGTAGCGGCTGTGCCCAGATGCAACCAGCGCTGCTCCTGCTTGCAGAAACAAGACCCGTAAATAGGTTAAAGGGGTGTTGAGATTTCCAGTCCCTTAGGTTTGGCCCTGGAAACCTGCATCTTACATATCTCGGTGTGTAATGTATATATATGTATATTTGTGCAAACTTCCCAGAGCAAGTGGCAGGCACAAATCCTGAGCACAGGACAGCCCCGGGGTGCTCCCGGTGGCGCTTTTGGCCTGATTTCCCCCAGGTTGAGCAGCGGCAGGAGGCAGCCAGGGCTCCAGGTGCTGCATTCCGGAGCGTGCAGCGGGCGCTCCCGCAGCGCTGCCTGCGCGGCGCATTCAGCCAGGCAGCACCGGGGCTGCGGCAGGACCGGGTTTGCCAGCTGCAGGTGCAGCCTGACGGCGCCCGGGATGAGCCTCATCCGGGACTATCCGCGTGCCAGGCCTCACCTGCCTGTTTTTGCTCTCCCCAGTGCAAGTGTGCGCAGTACTGGCCGGATCAGGGCTGCTGGACATACGGGAACATCCGTGTTTCCGTGGAGGACGTGACCGTCTTGGTGGATTACACGGTGCGCAAGTTCTGCATCCAGCAGGTATGGTGCTCCCCGACTCTGGGGATCCAACCCTTGGATCTCACGTCTCACATCCCAGAGGCCCTGCCAGAATCCCCAAACTCTCACATTGCCTTAGCACACTCTCGTTTGCTGTTCAAATATGTGGAGGGCAGAAGAAATAAGAAGGAAACAGAGTTCCTTATGAATAAAGAAGTGCAGTGGGAGCTGTTGTCCCCTGCTGTGTTTGGATCAGTGGCCCCAGCACCCGCATCTCCGTGTTCACCAGAACTATTTAAAATTTGCCTTACCTTATCAAACAGTGGCCCCTCGGCACTGGAAGCTGCGCAGCTGATGGAAGCTGCTCTGCAATTCGGTCCCGTAGCCCCCAGGCCGCTGCTGGTGCTGGCGAGGAAGGTGCCTGCCCATGTGGGACGCGGGCAGCAGGTCCTGCTCAGCCCCAGCCACGCGGTGCCTGGCTCCAGCAAGGCAGACTCATCTCCCGAGCTGCAACGAGATCGAGCGCTGTCTGCCTGGGGTTTAATTACTTCCCCATCTGTCGCTGCATTTTTCTTCCTCGGAGACTGGATGTTTTAGTCACTCTGTTTATTTTCCTAACGCGCCATGAGGCGGGCAGCAGAGAGCAGACGCGGAGGCAACTGAGCGCCTTGATTGGAAACGGGGCTGGATGTTGAGCTGAGATCTGCTGAGCCTTGTGCTGTGCTTTGGTGGCCGAGAGGTCGGAGCTCAAAGTTGGCTGGAGGCCTCGCAGCCAAGGCCAAGTCTGGCACCTCTCACTGAGAGTGTGCTATTAAGCAAGTAAAAAGTGATGCTTTTGGAGCCTCACGTGGCCCCCGAGTCCAGGTCTGCACGCTTCAGCTTGGACCCAAGAGTTCAGTTTTTGGGCCATAACACCCTTCTGTCTCTAGGTTTGGGCTAAAGCAGATGAATTTGTGTTTCTGTCATTAATGGGGACACGCGCCTGCCTTGCAGGTGGGGGACGTCACCAACAAGAAGCCGCAGCGCCTGGTGACCCAGTTCCACTTCACCAGCTGGCCGGACTTCGGGGTGCCCTTCACCCCCATCGGCATGCTCAAGTTCCTGAAGAAGGTGAAGACCTGCAACCCCCAGTACGCGGGGGCCATCGTGGTGCACTGCAGGTGAGGCCAGGCCTCTGCGGAGGCTGCTCCCTCCATCTGCCCGGAGGCAGCTGCGTCCGCTCCGTCCCAGCTTCAGTCAAAGGAAATCCCAGCGCGTGGCAGGGATGTCAGCCGTGTCGGGAGCCTCCCAGCTCCCATCTTCTTAGTTTTCCTTCTCAGAGCGAAGCCGGCAGCAGAGCCTCATCTTGCAGTGGCATCCACAGCCTCCCCTCCCTTAGTTCTTCCTCTCTCCTCAGTAGTGGAGTGGCCAGCACAGAAGCGAAGGCTCCGCTCTGGGCTCCCCATCCTGGGAAGGGGGCAGAGACAGGCAGCCCTCTTAAGACTCCCGAAAGCCACCCCCGGCGAGGGTTTTGGGTTGAGTTCCCCCTGTCCTGTGCCCTCCTGCCCGCAGACCAAGGTGCCTGCAGGAACGCAGAGTTCTGGGCACCCCTCTGCAAAGCCTGGGGGTAACCAAGCGTCGGAGAAGCCTCCCCGCTCCCCGCGGTGGCTGTTGCTGCTGGGAGCGCCGCGTTCCCGCGCGGGGCGATGCTCCCGGCGGGGCTCGCGCTGACCGTTGTCCCCGCGGCGTTGCAGCGCCGGCGTGGGCCGCACGGGCACCTTCATCGTCATCGACGCCATGCTGGACATGATGCACGCCGAGAGGAAGGTGGACGTGTACGGCTTCGTGAGCCGCATCCGCGCGCAGCGCTGCCAGATGGTGCAGACAGATGTGAGTGCGGGTTCCTGTGGGCTTTGCTCCCTGTGCTTACATTTTTCGTAGCACATCAGTCTCCCACACGCTCGGGAGACCTTCACGCGCCCCTTTAATCATTGCTTTCCCCTCCACCTTTGCGTTAAGTTCCTCCAGCTCTCCCAGGTCATGGGGCAAGTAAGATCCATTTGGAGGGGCAGAGAAATTATTGAAATTATTGACAGAGAAACTATTTGGGCAGAAGCTCATGGTTCCCCCCTGCTCCTCTTTCAGATGCAGTATGTGTTTATATACCAAGCGCTTCTGGAGCACTATCTCTACGGTGATACCGAGCTGGAAGTGACTTCCTTAGAAATCCACCTCCAGAAAATCTACAACAAAGTGCCAGGGACCAGCAGCAACGGGCTGGAAGAGGAGTTCAAGGTGCGTGTGCCGCAGGGAAGCTGGCTTTGTGCAGCTTTCAAAAGCAGACTTAGTGCACGTGGCACCACAGCCTGCTCCCAAGAGCAGATTTTAAACAGATCTCATGGTCCTTTCCTCTCGATAAAGGACATTTTGGTGGATTTTCTGGGACCACGCTGGGCTGCTGTCACACACTCCGCTTGCTTTCTGTGACCCTGAAGGCTCCTCCCTCTCTGTTCCTTCCCCTGCAGAAACTAACTTCAATCAAAATTCAGAACGACAAGATGAGAACGGGCAACTTGACAGCGAACATGAGGAAGAACAGGGTGCTTCAGATAATTCCATGTAAGGGCTGCTTGCTTGCTGAGCAAAAGCAACTCCATGGGTGAGGGCGAACCTTTAGGGTAGGTGTGGAGACAGGGCTTTTATCCTCGATTTTTCCTCTCTTTTTCTGCCTCTTGATTTTTCCAGATAGGTAGATTTTCGTGAACAAACTTAAAACGGCCCTTGGGCTTCCTTGCAGCTCTTGCTTTTGTTTTACCTTGTTCCTGTCATGACTTTCTTCTTTGGGGGTTTACGCTCCCTAAGGCCCTCAACCTCAAGGGAAAAGGGAGTGTCTCTGTTGAGCAGGTTTTTGCTCCCTGAGTCTCTCCTCAACATCCCCCTCTCACCCGCCCTGGCCTCGGCACAAGCTGGAGCTGAGTCTCCTCATCCCAGACCAGTGCTGTAAACGCAGGGTTCCCTCATCCTGGGTCACCCTGGCCTCTCTTCTGGGCACTTTCCATCTAACAACCACGTTTGCAAGGAGCTGTGTTTGGAAAGTGTCACCCAAAACGCTCACCTATTTGCTTCTGTTTCAGATGAGTTCAACCGAGTGATCATTCCAGTGAAGAGAGGTGAAGAGAACACGGACTATGTAAATGCTTCCTTCATTGATGTGAGTATTTTTTGTCTTCTTCTCACACTCTCTCACTGCAAACACTCCACCTCAC